CTGGCCTGCGCCGTGCTGCGGGAGGAGAGCGCAGAGCCCGCTGTGCGGTAGAGAAAGTAGCTTTAAAGTCTCTGGTAAAGTCAGGGGTGAAAGAGTTAACCGCGCATCAGCTAGCCTTGCTTCCATATTGGCTGTCAGCGGATGGACTGTAATTAAACACAGCCCCATGGCAAAGTGACACCACCGACCTTGACTTTAAGATGCCATTTTCGACTGGCCAGGCCAGAGTAGAGAGGGCAGTCGCTGAAGCGCACAGACATGCTTATTCGGAAAGTTTAAGGGCATGTTGGAAATTTCAAAAGGTTGGTTTGACAGGAAAGGCCGCTCTCCGCAGCCTGCCTCCTCAGCCAAATGATGAATGCTTCTCTGCGCTCTCCCTTGTCTCTGATGTGGTTTTGACAGATGTATCTTGATTTTGTTTGTGGCGTACACAACCGCATGTCAGCCGTACGAATGTCCGAGGCAGAGTTCTGTTTTGTGCAACAAACAATATGAAATGTAGGGTTTTTTTTTTTTTTAAAAAAAGGTAAATAATTCCATTTTTTAGCGTAATTTTTTTTTTTTAACCGGGAAGCCATTCACTGTGCAAACACGTTAGCAAATGAGGTTAAGAAAACAGAACTTCCTATGGGAGAGAAAAGCGCAGGAGCACCGGGAGCCGAAGAAGGCGTACAGGCATACTCTGTTTTCAAAATCCTGTTAGTAAACAAGAATACTGCCCGGTTGTAGCGAGCGTTGCAAATCACTTTCAATCACGCTAACGGTACTATTTGAAAAATACCAGACTGTAGCGTATCAAAACCCACACGTGCCCCAACCTGTTTATTTAAAAAGAGGGAAAAATGTGTTGCAGCAGCCCGAAGGAGAGCGTGCCGCGAGCGGGAGCGCGGGGCGTAAGCGCAACCGCGTGAGGCGCTGGAGCTCGCCTTCGCCTCGCGCTGCCCACGGAGGTAAACCATAATAGGGCAGCAGGCGCTGGGAGGTTCGGCGGGCTGTTCTCGCAGCCTTCCTAGCCTCCAACCCAGCCGTTAAATCATACTTGATATTTGTATTTCTGAAGGTTTTGTGGTAGCAGCGAACGGCTATGAGCGTGCGTCTGCGTCTGCGTGTATGCACACACGCACGCGAAGCCATATGCATGCTCACCCATCTATTATATATATAATATATAATGCAAAGGAATATGCTATTACTGCAAAGTAATGCATGTGGGTATATATGTATACACACACGCACCCGTATGCTCAAAGACGCAGAGGGTCGGCTACTGTTACGCTACATTTTGAAAGATATTTAAAAAAAATCCGGTAGGTTCAACTTCTCAGCGCTGGGCGTTGAGGATTTTTTTCCGGGAGAGGCGCAGGGCAGTGCCCGCGTGCAAGCGCTGCCCGCGACGTGGCGGAAGCCCAGCAGCAGCGTAGGGCATGATTAATGGCAGGAGCCTGGCGGAAGGGATTTGTCGTCTTCCCAGATCTGGAGCCATACTAAATCACCAAATATGGAGGGACGGGGCGATGATGCAACACGGTATTTACATACTGAGCTGCTCTGTTTAAGAGACAAAACACAGTGTCTGTCAAGCAGGAATTAACGGCGCGCTTCTTGCCATGGTCCCAAATAGGTCGCTCGGGCTCCGAGACGGGCGCGCGGCGCGGTCGCTGGCCGGGGAAGCCCCTCGGCGGAGGATTTGACCGC